AGGAGTGAGGAATTGAGGGAGAGAAGTGAGGGAGAGGAGTGAGGTAGTGGGAAAGCAGTGAGGGAGAGGAATGAAGGAGTGAGGGAGAGGAGTGGTGAGTGAGGGAGAGGAGTGAGGCAGTGGGAAAGGAGTGAGGGAGAGGAGTGAGGGAGTGGGGGAGGAGTGAGGGAGAGGAATGAAGGAGTGAGGGAGAGGAGTGAGCGAGTCAGGGAGAGGAGTGAGCGAGTGAGGGAGAGGAGTGAGCGAGAGGAGTGAGCGAGTGAGGGAGAGGAGTGAGAGAGTGAGGGAGAGGAGTGAGCGAGTGAGGGAGAGGAATGAAGGAGTGAGGGAGAGGAGTGAGCGAGTGAGGAAGAAGAGTGAGTGAGGGAGAGGAGTGAGCGAGTGAGGGAGAGGAGTGAGGTAGTGGGAGAGGAATGGGAGTGAGAGAGAAATGATGGAATGGGAGAGGAGTGAGCGAGACGAGTGAGCAAGTGGGAGAGGAGTGAGCGAGCGAGGGAGAGGAGTGAGAGAGGAGGGAGTGAGAAAGGAGTGAGGATTGACAGAGAGGAGTGAGGGAATGGGAGTGGAGTGAGGGAGTGTGAGAGAAGCGATGGAGTGAGAGTAGGGAGTGGGAGAGAGGGAGTGTGAGGGGTGATGGAGAGGAGTGAGGCAGTGAGGGAGAGGAGTGAGTGAGTGAAATACAGGAGTGAGAGAGAGAGGAGTGAGGAAGTGAGAGAGAAGTGAGGTAGTGGGAGAGGAGTGAGGGTGTGAGGGAGAGGAATGTGGAGTGAGGGAGGAGTGAGGGTGTGAGAGAGGAGTGAGGGAGTGGGAGAGAGGGAATGGGAATAGTGAGGGAGGGATGGAGAGAAGTGAGGCAGTGAGGGAGAGGAGTGACGGAGAAGAGTGTGGGATAGGAGTGAGGGAGAGGAGTGAGGGAGAGGGCGAAGGTAGGAAGGGTCCCAACTTTAAAATCAAAGCAGCAAGTGATTCACTGCACAAACATATCTTCCTCCCGAATGACTGACTGGTTCCCAGTGGCTCCGGGTTAGTGCGGAGACTTGCAGTGACAGAGCTAATAAGGAGTTGTCAAACATATGATGTTGGTTGGTGAGGAGTTGGGATGGAGGGGCAATTGTTGCTGTTTATTCTCCTTGTGTTGAGCAGCCCGTTTCTCGGGTAACACACGACAGTGAGGTGGTAAATGTAACAGTAAAGGTTGCTGGAGATTAACTGGGGTCGTGATAAGGACTTTAAGCAAAAGTTGAACATTTTCACAGGAGCCAAGGGGTTCAGGCATTCAGCTGCCAGAGCTGAGGGTGGGTTATGAAAGGATAAATTGTGATGGATTATAATCAAGAAACAGGACAGCAGCTACAAAAGGGGAAACAGCGACGTGAGCTGAGGTGTGGCGGGGCCCACGGGGGATTTGTTTTATTCACACTGAAGATCTGGCGAGTCACCAGCATTAAACTCAGCTCAACTGACTGAGCCAAGAGCAACAGCCAATGAAGGTGTTAAATCACTGTCAGGCCAAATAGTGCAGGTAATGAAATGGGCTGCCATCATATCTCAATCTGATACCGGCGACAGCGAGGCACAGGAGCAACGTGACACAGCTCACAGCACAACCCACCGAGGATTCCGGCTGGAGGGTAGTTTGAGTGTTGTAATCCTCAAAAATAGAGTCCCTGGAATTTTACATTTCTCATTTCATTCAAATGAGACCTGTGGATGGGCAATGTAGAGGGAGCTTTACTCTGTTTCTAGCACAGGCTGACCTGGGAGGGTGGACGTACAACAACAACAACAAATTACATTATCATAGCGCCTTTCATGTTGGGAGGATGTCCCAAGGCGTTCCGTGCCGCCCACAGCATCTATGATGACTGTCCTGGTCAAAGTGACAAATGACATCTCTGACTCCTCGCCCTCCTTGACCTCTCTGCTGCTTTCGACACCATCGACCACATTATCCTCATCCACCGCCTCTCCTCTCACCTCAACATCCACGGCGCTGTCCTTGACTGGTTCAGATTGTACCTCGCACACTGCCTGCACTTCATCTCCTCAAACGGCTTCTCCTCTAGCCCCATTACCTGCACTATTTGGCCTGACAGTGATTTAACACCTTCATTGGCCCTCAACTCTATCTCTCTGCCTTCACCCTCGACTCTAGGACCACTGCTGTCCTGACAGAATGTCTGTCAGACATCAAGTCCTGGATGAGAGCTAACTTTCCTCAGTTGAACGTCAACAAGACCGAGGCTCTCCTGATTGGCTCCAGTCAGCGCCTCCACACCTCAGGTGCTGACAGTATCACCATCCATGGTTGCACACTCCTTACTAAGCCAGTCTGGAACCTTGGGGTCTTGTTTGACGCTCAACTATCCTTTCTACCCCACATTTGCGCCATGAACCCCTCCGTCTTCCCCACCTCCGCAACATGACCCAGCTCTGACAGTGTCTCACACCGCAGGCCGCCGAAACCCTCAAACACGCCTTTATTATGTTGAGGCCTATGTAAACAACTATGTAAACTCACTGCTTGTCGACCTCCCCAACTCCTCCCTCCACAGGCTGCAGATCATCCAGAACTCTGCAGTCCGTGTCCTCTCCCGCACTAGGCTCTGTGACTCTAATACCCCCATCCTTGCCCAACTCCACTGGCTTCCCATCACTCAGAGGATACAGTTCAAGACCCTCACCTTCAAAGTCTTCCATGGTCTTGCTCCCCCTTACCTCTCCGACCTCCTAAATCCTGTTCACTCCCTCCGCTCAGCGGGCTCCAGCCTGCGTTACGTCCCCCGCCTTACTCGCCCCACTATTAGTGGGCGGGCCTTCTGCCACTCTGCACCCACCCTCTGGAACTCCATCCCACAGTCCCTCCGTCTCACCCCTCCCTCACCAGCTTCAAGACTCACCTCAGACCCTCCTCTTCGACCGTGCTTTCGATCTCCCTGCATCCCCCACTGCCCTCCACCCTCCCCCACCCCGACCCTCAGCTCGGGTCTGTAAATCTGTCTGTCCAGCGCCTTGGGACGTCCTCCCGATGTGAAAGGCGCTATACAAATTTAATTTTGTTGTTGTTGTTGACGTACACTGTAGATGTAAAGCACTTGGCCTGTCTAATTGTGCTGACTGGTCACAGCTGACAACAGCCTCTGATATATTTAGGCAGCAACAAATCCCAAATATCTGTGGTGATGTCAGACTGAAGCTGTGTGGGTCAGAGGTCAAGTGAGCAGCACGATGGCTGAGTTCTGTTGCTCCTCGTTGTGTTATTTTGCAATCCCCAGAGTCCTCAGCCTCAAATCAGCTTATGTTTCCCACACTGTCTATTCTTAGACCTTCCTGTACCATAGTGGAGTCCTGTAGTATAGCGGTTAGAGCACTCCCCTTGAAAGTGGGATGACTATGGGTTTGATTCCCGGGCAGGGTCAAACCTTAAGCGATTTTCTTTACTCCGCACACCTCTGTTTACCTAGTCGTAAGTAGCAACCCGGTTGTTAGTCGATTGACGGATCGCTTTTCGGGTGTAATAATCCCTTCAAAATATAAATAATAATAATTTGGTCACTCAATCCACAACTGTGTGTGGGACATTGTTGTGGGTAATTGGCTGCCACATTTCATCCACAAAATATCCAGTCAATTCACTTCACTGTATATTCTTTGAAGCACTTTGAGACGTCTAGAAAACGTGACAAGGCGTTCTATCAAATGCAGGGATTATTACAGTGTGTATAAGATCCTCATCCTCACCTACAAGGCCATTCACGGCCTCGCTCCCTCCTACCTCTCCGACCTACTATCCCCCTACTTACCTCCCCATACCCTCCGTTCCTCTGGCTCCGGTCTGCTCCACATCCCCCGCCCCAACCGCCCTACCATCGGTGGCCGGGCCTTCAGCCTCTCAGCCCCGAGGCTCTGGAACTCTATCCCCCAGTGCCTTCGCCGCTTCCTCCCTTTCCTCCTTCAAGGCCGGTCTCAAGACCTTTCTCTTTGACCGAGCCTTCAGCTCTCCTCTCGACTCTCTACCCCCTCCTCGCTCCCTCCCCTCACCCTGACCATCTCCCCCCTGCTCGGGTTCTGACCCAACTGTACAGCGCCTTGGGATGTCCTTCCGACGTGAAAGGCGCTCTATAAATGGAATCTTGTTGTTGTGTGTGTGTATACAGTGTGTGTATACTGTGTGTGTATACAGTGTGTTTATACAGTGTATATATAGTGTTGTGTGTATACAATGTATGTGTATTTACAGTGTGTGTGTATACCGTGTGTGTGTAGTGTGTGTGTATATTGTGTGTGTATACAGTGTGTATGTAGTATGGTTGTATACAGTGTGTCTATATACAATGTGTGTGCAATGTGTGTATATATAGTGTGTGTATATACAATGTGTGTGTATACAGTGTGGGTGTATATAGTGTGTGTGTATACTGTGTGTGTATTCTGTGTGTAGTGTGTGTGTATATACAGTGTGTATATATACAGTGTGTGTGTATACAGTGTGTAGTTTGTGTGTACACAATGTGTGTGCATACAGTGTGTGTGTATGCAGTATGTCTGTAGTGTGTGTTTACAGTGTGTGTGTAATGTGTATATAGTGTGTGTATACAGTGTGTGTATATAGTGTGTATAGAGTGTGTGTGCAGTGTATGTATATACAGTGTATGTGTATATACTGTGTTTGTAAACAGTGTGTGTATGCAGTGTGTGTGTAGTGTGTATACAGCGTGTGTGTATACAGTGTATACATTGTGCGTATGTGTATACGGTGTGCAATTGTAGCGTGTGTGTACAGTGTGTGTGTATACAGTGTGTGTGTAGTGTGTGTATACAGTGTGTGTAGTGTGTGTGTATACAGTTGAATTCTATGAACAGTTGAAGCTCAAACAAATGCTAAAATGAGTTGAAAAGATTGAAATGAAAATGGTTTTGTGAAAATTTGATGATGATTGTTCTGTTAGCTTGATCAAAGGGAAATGACAAAGACTCATGGATTTGTTTACTTCATAAAGGATGACTACATACGCAAATGGATGAAGCCAAAGTCAAATGGAAGAACAAGGTTTTCTTCACCATAGAAGATAAAGTTGTCCTTGCTTTGCAGCTGGTGTCTACAACAACACATTTAATAGACTGGCATACGTGACCAACATGGTAAAAAGAACCAGAAATTTTGGGTTAAATGGAAATAGCTGAATTTTGGGAACGGAGTAGCTAATACAACCAATCTCGAGGAAAGAGGGATAGACTACAATCAATATGTATTGACCAACAAGTTAACAAGTCGATTGCTCCATCGCCACCGTGTTGATCAGATCAACTCATTGCATTGAACTGTACTAACCCGTCGTAAGCATTCATTTGATTAGCTAAAACGTAGAACCTTGATATGTATAATCTTGCTAATCTTTATCAAAATTTACTAATTGAAGCAAATTGAGAGTTTGTGTCAGTTCATACTTTACCGCAGGGTCACAGAATTTAAGTAACCCTACAATGTGATTCCAAGTCCCGACATGGGGCTTGAACTCACAACCTTTTGACTCAGAGGACTGAGCCAGGATGACACTAACACTGACCAGGGCCAGGTTGACCCTGGCTTGTGACCAATGCTGCTCTGATGGACTGTCTGTCAGACAGCAAGTCGTGAATGAGAGGGACTTTCTCCAGTTGAATCAACAAGACCGAGGCCCCCCTGCTTGGCTCTTCCACACCTCAGGCACTGACAGCATTACCATCCATGGATGCACTCTACACCTCACTAAGCCAGTACGTAAAATCCAGTTAATCCAAAACTCTGCTGTCCGCATAGTTTTGCAGACTCACCCTCATCACAACAATTGTAGCCAACTTCGCTGGCTTCCAATCACTGAACGGATCGATTTCAAGCTCCTTACACTCATCTTCATGTCCTGGCACCTCCCTACCTCTCCGACCTGCTTAATCCTCAACCCACTAACTGCTGTCTCCACTCACTTGCTGTGTCCTCCTGCTTGCCCTTCGTATCCTCCGTTCCACCATTGGTGGCGGCGCTTCCAGCCACTACACCCTGAAGCTCTGGAACACTCTTCCTCTATCTCTCTGCCTTGCCCCCTCCTTGTCTCCCCATCTTCAGGTCGCGCTTGAAGACCTTCCTTTTCGACCGTGCCTACGGTCACCTCCCAACTCTCGGCGTCATGCTCTGCCAATGTCAAGCACTCGGGTACACTACCCTGTGTGAAGGGTGCTATATAAATGCAAGTTGATGTTGCTTGTTTTTGTACCGAACCTTGGCGTCTTGTTTGACCTTCAACTATCCTTTCTACCCCACATCCGTGCCATGACCCGCTCTGCCTTCCCCCACCTCTGCAACATCGCCCGGCTCCACCACCGTCTCCCCTCAGGCCACTGAGACTCTCATTCACACATTCATCACATCCAGGCTCGACTATGGAACTCCCTACTTGTCACCATTCCCAACCTCCTCCCTCCACAAGCTGCACATCATCCAGAACTCTGCAGCTTGTTGCCTCTCCCACACTAGATTCCATGATCCTATCCCCCAACCTCGCCTGGCTCGACTGGCTCCCCACCCCCCAGAGTACAAAATCCTCATTCTTGTCTTCAAAACTCTCTTCAGCCTCGCTCCTCCCTACCTCTGTGATCTGCTAACTTTATGAAGACTTGTCCGCTCCCTCCACTCAGTGGGCTCCAGCTGCTCCATACCACCACCCGGCCTGCCCCACTCCATTTTGGAACTCCATCCTACAGTCCCTTCGCCTTGTCCCTTGTCCCTTGTGCCTCCTTCATGGCCCGTCTCAAGACCCTCCTCTTCACCGCACCTTCGAACACCATCCTACCCCTACCCTTCTTGCCCTCCATCCCTCCTGATTCCAAACCCCCAGCTTGACTGACTGTCCAGCGCCTTAGGATGTCCTCTCGACGTTGATTGTTGTTTCATGTTAAACTTGTGCCTCTGGTCACTGGACCCTCTGAACCATTGTAAATAAGGTGGAGCAGAATGCCAGGTATTTGCACACCGGCTAATGGGTCACTTGTCCCTTTACCCACATTAAGGCTGAGGTCCTGGAAGTAAAATTGGTGAAAGTTCATGCAGAAATTTTTAATTGGAGTGCTAGCTTTTATAGCACATGTGTACTGTAACCAGCGGCCTGACCTTTCCCTCAATCTGTCTAAACAAGCAAATATATTTTGTTTGTTCATTCAGATAGGTACAGTGCAAGCTGAGAGACAAGCACAGTTACACAGAGAGAAAAAAGAGAGACAGCAAGCGATAGAAAGAGAAACACATACATATATACACACACACACACGCATAGACAGACAGAGAGAATTACTCTGAGAAAGAGAAAGAATTAATCTCTGAGAGAAAGAGGCAGAGAGAGAGTCAGAGAGAGAAAGAAAGGCAGAGAGGAAGAATTCATCTCAGAGAGAGGGAGAATTCATCTCTGAGAGAAAGCGAGAAGCAGAGAGAATTACTCTAAGAGAGACAAAGAGAATGAATCACAAGAGAGTCAGAGAGAGAAAGACAGAGAGTCAAAAAGAGATTGAGAAAGATGTTGGATACCCGTTTAAGAGTAAATTGACAAATAACAAAAGGGCCAATAAGAAGAAGGACAGGGAGTACAAAGGGACACTGGGAGTGGGTAGAGTGTGTGGTTTATAGTGGGGGATTATTGAGATTATTAATAAAGAAGATAAATAACACACCCTCGATTTGGATTGAGTTATATTACATGGTGTCAGAAGTGGACCAACTTTGGACTGAATTGGAGTATGAGATTGAAATCCGCATTAAAGAAATAAAATGCAGACTGAAACAAAAGAATATCAGGGCATATGGGGTATGTGCAAATCCAAGACCACTGAAGTTAACTGACAACAGAATATTTGCTTCAGCCACCAATATGTTACAGCTGCTAAGAAAACAGCAAGTGAACAGCAAGCTGCTATTTGTTTAAATGTAGTAGGGGAAGAAGCCAGAGAATATTTTGAGACCCTAGAAAGGGATATGGATATTGCTTTTAGATGATATAATGAATATTATGAGAGAAAAGTGTTTTGGACATAACAATATCTGTTGACAGATATAAATTTAGCTCAAGAAAACAAGGGCCTGTGGAGACATTTACCCAATATTTTGCTGCATTAAGGTCTCTCAGGCAAAACATGGAGCCCTGAGAGTAGTAAAGATTAAAGATCAAACTGTAATAAGGTTTAAAGACAACAGAATAAGGAATTCACAGAAAGCGGTACAAATGATAAACAGAGAAGAAATGTCCGAGGCAAATATGAAAGAGTTTGAACAAAATCAGGAACAAGAGATGGAAATTGATGAACTGGCTAAGCGAAGGAATTGGAATTACACAGATAAAGAATATGGAGTACAACCGGTATTCAGACCTAGATGAAAGATGTGTAACAAGAAGACACGTGAGCAATGTGGACTAGAACACCCTTTTAGCCGATATCCAGTAGAAGGTGTGTTATATTTGTGACAAATATGGGCATTCTGATGAAAGTGCAGAAATAAACAACAAAGGCCAGAGAGGCACAGGGGACTGAGAACAACACAGAGATCACAGGGAAGTAGAATGTCAGGAAGAAGAGAATATAGGAGGATGAGTGACTATCTGAGAACCAGGATTGCACAAGTGCAATCAAGCCATGGTGCAATGTTGAGCAGCTCGGAGGTGGAATCCAATAACAGTGAGGAGGAAGAAGAATATAATTGATACAATGGAAATTACAGGAAAATGGATAGAGAAGAGAGAATAACAAATGGGTGGCATCGCTATGGTGCTTGAAAGGAAAAAAACACATACAATGCAAATTGGACGCAGGAGCACCAGCTAGTGTGATGTGATTAGAGGAAAATATAAGGCTGGGAGAACCACAGAGGGAAAGGATGGCAAAAGGGAAAGGAAGGTTAGTGGTAAACAGGTGACATTGAAACGGTAAGAAGAGTATAAATAAGAACGAGGGATAAAATAAAATATATAAAATACCACTTTACATAGTGAAAGTACAGGCAACATTGTCGGGTCTACAGGACATAAATAAAATAGGATTGTTGAAAAGAATACAAAATGTGAAGAAAGAAGAAAAAAGATTAGAAACAGAAGAAATAATAGGAAAATACAAACATGTTTTGGTAAAACAAGGTTAATGAAAGGGGAGTATGAGATAAAGATAAAGGACAATGTAAACCGATACGACAGCCACTGAGACGAGTGCCCAAAGCCATGAAAGAAAGAATGAGAGACACATTAATGAAAATGAAGAAAAATCATAAAGTAAGTAGAAAAACCTAGTGAGTGAGTGTAATAATGATTATAGAAAAGCCAGACAAGTCACTGAGAATATGCTTAGACCCACAGAACTTATGTATGGCTTTATTTAGTTAGAGCATTACACAATACCTACATTAGACGTACATGCCATGTTGCATGGAGCAATTTTTTTTTGGACACTTGATTGTTCTTCGGGGTACTGGTAAGTTAAGCTATCAAAAAGCAGTGCGTATTTAACAATATTCCTAAGGCATTTCAGGAGAGAATGTTTTTGGCGAATACCTTTTGGAATGAAATCAGCACAGGAGATATTTCAGAGGAAATTAGCACAGATACCAGGGCTGATAAATTAATACAGACGATATATTAATATTTGGAAGGACAAGGGACGAGCGTGATGGACATCTAGAAAAAGGAGAATGTAAAGTTAAATAGAGAAAAGTGCAAAATGGGGATGATTGAAGTCTAGGTCATATAATAACACAGAAAGGGTTAAAAATGGATCCAGAATAGGTTGAAGCAATAACAAAGATGCCAGCACCTCAGGATAAGAGACGGGTTAAAAGTAAAAGACTAATAGGAATGGTAACCTGGGTTTATCTCAAATGTGATGGAAATCATGGGACCAATAAAGGGATTGGTAGATAGGAAATTGCTGGGGGAAAGAAAAGCAAAAGGCATTTAGTTAAGTTAACAGGATTAGGAGTGATCTTAATACAAACAGAGAGTGTAATTGCTGACATATCATGGCATTGTCAAACAGAATAAAACTAGGCACAAATAGAAAAAGAGTGTTTAGCAGGACATTTTGGGTATGCGAGATTCAAACAATATGTGTTTGGGGAAAAAGATAACAGTAGAGAATGATCACAAGCCATTAGAAGCAATTATTAAAATAAAGGGCTTAACATAACACCTCCGAGATTACACAAAAATGTGTATACGGCTGCAGAAATATGAACTAGAATTTAAGTGTAAACTGGGAGAGAATAGTAATAACAAAGAAATTAAGAGAGCCATTTATGAAGAAGATACATGAGGGACACTGGGGAACGGAAAGTGCCAGGCGAAGAGCTAGAGAAATAGTATTCTGGCCCGGCATAAATAAACAAGTAGAAATGCGACACGTGTGTCAGGTAAAACAAGGCGAGACAGGACCAATC